CAGTCTCAAACCTTGCATCAAAAGTTAAGCCTCAAGACGCCTGTGTGAAGTCTCCAGACCTCGTTGCCTGACACACGGAATCTGCCAAAGGAGACTCTTCTTGCTAGACGCATCGTTTACAGATATTGATTTCCCCTTAAAAGACAGGCCGGGCCAACACTCCATTTTTCATAGAACTACATCATCAAAGATTATAGGACCGGATAACCCCACATGTTAACAACTTCACACCAAATACAAATCACACCGGCAGAGCGGCGGCGACCCACGGACGCCAGGGCGTACATCCTACCCTCTGGAGAGCACCAAGTGCTGTGCCTGCCACGGAAATCACAGCGGCGCAATTGGTTGGTGGCAGTTGTTTGGTGGCAGTTGCGTGGTAGCAATTGATTGGTGGCAGTTGCTTGGTAGCAATTGGTTGGTGACAATTGGTTGGTAGCAGCTGGTTGGTGACAATTGGTTGGTGGCAATTGGTTGGTGGCAGTTTGTGGGTGGCAGTTGGAGCGAGGAGGAGGGAGGCGGAGGAGCGGATACCACACTAAAAACAAAAAAACACACGTCAATGTGGGGAACAACATCATCGATTCCACAGGCAACATTTGGATCATTACATGTTGTCTCTATTGTCTCCACGCTCAGGTGCTGCACACTGCACGAAAACCAGCTCATGCAGTTCATCCAAGCCCCTCTGCTCCAAAACTCGTCACAAGACTCCAATCTCCTTCCAATCCAACCCCTGCAGAAGCCGGTTTAAGAGAACAGCAAATTAAACGCTTCAACATCGACTACATGTTCGTGAAAAAAACACGAAAAATATGAAAAACAAATCAAACTCCCTCCACCCATCTCTTTTTGATCCCCATCTCCAGCCATCCCCCCCATGGACTCCTGTGTATCCCTGCCCAGTCTTCACTCCCTTGAGGAGTAAAGGACCTATCTCCGTCACGGCACCCTCCTCAGCCGGCGCTTTGTGCGGATCCGGTGCGGAGATCGGACCGTTCGGTCGAAAACACGGTGCCGATGTCCTACCGTGGCAGACGGGTTTGGACATCACTGCAGGTAGTATATATATATATACACACATGGATACATAGAAGCACCTGGGAGCACTTTGGGTAAATATATATATATATATAATTGCATATAACTATATTTTAGATGAAGAGAAGAAGTATGAAGAAGTCCGCTTGGGGTAAAACCCACTTGAGAACCTCACGTGGGCACCTTTCCAGTCACAGGTCACAAGCTAATTCAGTTATATAGACAGCTCAAGATACCAGTAGCTCAAGTTAGACAGCTCAAGTTAGAAAGACGGGCATCCATGGAGGTGCATCCCGGGCCGCCGTTGCTCCAAAGAATCACTGGCGCGTCCGCAGGAGCATCACTCTTCGCTTGGATGAACCAGTAGAAGAGGAAGTCCTCACACCACAATGTGTGGAACGAAAAAACCTGCAGGATGGCTCAAAAAGCAGACACATTCAGGTAGCCACAGTCATGATGTGTCATGGATACTACCCATTCATGTCTATTTGATTCTATTTGATGTTTCAGCGAAACTTGGATCTTCAATTTTTGCAATAATTTTAATTTGGTAGTGTTCTGAGTCTAGCTTCGCCCTGTGGTCCAAACAGTTCTTGTAGCCTGAAAAGCGCGGGACAATCTTCGACTCGGGTCAAGCCACGGATTGGACTGAGACTGCTGCAGCAGAACAGCTTTCTCTCTGAAACAGGGAAGCTTCTAGTACCTTTATGATTGCCTTGTCATTTGGTCATTTCAGTTGCCTGGTCCGATGTTATCAAGTCCATACCAAATGGATCAGTTCACCCAAACCAAGCACTCTTCTCTTCAAAAAGACACGAACGCACACAAACCGTCTTTGCCCATAGAAGGCCTCCTGTGTGACATTCACGTAACCTCAGCGATGGACACCGAAAGCAAGGGAGCCAATCGACATGCTTCGAAGGTGCCATACCAGGACCCTCCAAGAGGCTGCTTTGGGGGACCCAAACGAGTACCATTAGTCTTGATTCGTGAATTAGGCATCGGCATATACGATCTCCGGTTGCCATGGACCGATAATTCGCGTTGAGGTTACTCTGGGGATAGTCCGGGGGTCTTCTGCGGTCTTCGTTGCACGTGTTGTTACAGGTTTGGTGTCTAGTTTGACCTCTGGTACCCCCTGAAAGGGAAGGACCTAGAGGTGCGTGCGGATTGGAGCGCAAGTTGTGTGTGTGCCCCTTGTAGTCACAGGGATTATTTTGAATTGTTTTTTCGTTTACTTCAGCAGGGGGCATGCGGCCATCACGCAAACGCATGCCAACGAAGCTATGCGTGATGGTGGAAGCCAGGTCTGATCAACCTGGTGTACCTGCTGTTGAGAACCTAAGTATGGCAAAAGCTGCCTCATCCTTTGTTGTGCAGTAAGCAGCTAATGCAGCGGCGACTCACCTTGGAGTGTTTGGACCTTTGGAGCTCCACGGATTTGCACGACTCGTCGTCACCCTGTCGCCGCCGTTCGCCCTCGTGTTCATAGGTTTTGGAGGCCTCAAACTTACTACCTGGAACCTTAGGCGGTTTTACTTAGGCTGGCGTGTGGCACCGCTGTCAAGTCAGTACGCATATCCATAAGTGTGTGATAGGAAAAGACAATATTTCAGCATATTTCGCATATTTTGGGTAGTTGGTGGTCCAAAGGTTCTAGAGGTCCTATAGAAGTCCGACTATCTTTGGCACTGAAGGAAAGGACATGCCTTTTCGGGTGATCTATAGAGACCTTTGCCAAAATAGAATATAATGGAATGTATTTAATGTCTTGGACTCCTCAGCAAATACATGTGTATATATATACTACTGTCTAATGACTTAGGCCGAAGTGATGCAAGTGACATACCAATCTGGCTACCCCCAGGGCTAAGTCATTTGCCCTGACATATCGAGCAAAAAAAAATGTCTGGATTAGGAAACCTGATGTCATAGGACCTGTGGACACCTCATCTACCAAAAAAAACAGCTGGATACCACTGCCTGGCACTGTGGTGACACAGTGGTGACATAGGATGCGACTATGTGTTTTTTGCAAACGCTGATCCCGAGTCATGTGGCCTTTTGCCACTGGTCCTCATGTGGTCCTAATGAAGCTCAATCATCATGAGCGGATCATAGGGCTTTGCCCTCATGATTGTAACGTATTAGAATCGAGCTTTGGTCGAAAATGCTATCAGTGAAGATGTTGGAATCTGTCAATGAAAACTTATGGTGGGAACTGTTGATGGTGTGCTGGTAGACTCAACAACTGTTGCGCAGCCCCACGTTCCTATGTCATACGCGTCCACCCACTAGTTTGGCAGGATAAACTTGTGGAGGTGTCACATGACTTAAGTTAAGACAAGTGGGCCCACAACTACTTTGTCCCCACAAAGCCTATCTCATGGGTCAATATATAAAAAAAATGTATACAGTATCCAACCCTCATGACTTAGGCTAGTCCGGTGATTTTCGATCATTGCTCACAAAAGTGCTTTTAGCTCATCCAACTGTGCCCTCCAACTGTCAGCGTTGGGTGGACAATTGGTTTGCACGTGCAGGTGTATCACATGCCTGAGGCAATGAATCAGACAACGAAAAGGACTTCTGCTGTCTGACCACCTTGCAGTGGATATGGCGCACCCTGGAAAATGCGCACTCCAGAAAGATCCGGCAGGGTGCCGGCTAATGCCAGCACCCTTGACATCAGGTAGAACAGTCAGCTGTGGACCCAGGTTGGATAAATGAATCCACTCTGGAGAAAAATGGTAAACCTTGTGCTTGGAAGGTGCGGGACCTTTGCCCTCACCTTGATTTGCCAAGCTTGCTTCTTCAGGAGAGATTTCTGCACCATGGATGTCCTGCTCGAAGTTGAGAGAACCTGCATCGCCAACGAACTCTTCCAAGCTCGAGGTGACAGAAGCATCATCGTCATCGCCCTTATCGTCCTCTGCCTCTGCACCTGCTTCTTCAAAGACACGCTGCTCCAATGCACTTGGCATTTGCATGCCATCGCCGTTGTCCTCATCATCGTTGCACTCCTCTGCTGCATCACCCGCTTCATCATCATCATCATCATCATCATCGTCTTCGCCTGGCAAAGCAGTCAGTTTCAACGTACCGACTATATACATCGTCCATACAGCTTGTTGTTCCTAGGTCATCTACCGTAAACCACCAACCGTGCCAGATGTTGGCAACTTAGAACAGGTGTTTGATCCTAAGTCATCATTGTAAGTGCATCGATGTGTCTCCCTTACTCCTAAAGAAAACCACACTGACCACACAATTCATTTAGTTCCTAGGTCATCACCCTAACACATATATAGGTAATCCACTCTAAACCACCAACCGGGCCAGATGTTGGCAACTTAGAACAGGTGTTTGGTCCTAAGTCATCATTGTAAGTGCATCGATGTTTCTCCCTTACTCTTAAAGAAAACAACACTGACCACACAATTCATTTGAGTTGTGTTTTTTTTGTGGTGTGGGGCTTATACACTGGGTCTGTACCTACGCGCTGCTTCCGCGAGCGCCTACGCGGGGCCTACGCGAAAATAGGTCCATTGATTCTGGTACCAACAGGGGGTGCACACTTGTGGCTCAAGAGCCGGTGTGCCAGACCAAGCACGATCAAGCTTATGACCTCAAAAACCAATGTGCCTCCAGAGCTTCGGTAAACAAACTTCAAACCTCCTCTGTAGCCAAGCAGAACAGCCTCCGCAACTTCTCAACAGTTCCCTTTTTGTATAAACCTAATCATTTGCAAAAAAGACGTGGCTCATTTAGTTCCTAGGTCATCACCCTAACACATACATAGGTCATCCACTCTAAACCACCAACCGTGTCAGACGCTGGCAACTTAGACCGGGTGTTTGAGCCTAAGTCATCATTGCCTGAGTGCATGGGTGTTTCTCCCTTCGTGCCATGCTGAAAATGTGTTTCCAACTCCCTATGTCATTGATACCGCCCGCTACTTATCCCATTTCTTGTCCTGTGTAGTTCTCTCGAAGAATATCAAAGCCGCCCGGCTGAGTAGTTGTCGATACGCAGCAAATGGCCCTCTTCGGGAACTTTGCCGATGACAAAAAATATGTCCCTGCACTGGTCGGGTCGTGGGAGTCATCAATCTGGAAGGTCACTCTCAGAAGTTCATGATTCGTCCCCTTGTTGATAAACTCAGTGCGCCCGTTGACCAGTGTGGTGTTTCTTTTGACATAGGAAGATGTCGCCAAGCAGCCTTGGCGCAGGTTGTAGACCAGGCTCGTCACCCGGTTGTTCAATGCCATGAGTTTCTCCTTCCACTCTTTCGGTTTTCTGGTCCAAAGGATCTTCCTCTCCCTCCGATGTCCGCAAACGGCTTTCTCAACCGCAAATGCGATTGTACTTGGCAAAGCGGCAATCTTGTCATCGTCCATTCGAAGCGACCAAAACCACCTCGCAAAACAATGCTTCCAACATGATGCTTCCCATGTCATTGTGACTTCACTCTACAGTGAGAATATTAATACATATGAACACATAACTTTTCAACATCTCATAGAAGAATCCTATCTCATGTTACACTTGTCAAACATCCAATATCCCCAAACCACCCTGTAACTACTTTGCACGACCATGACCTGTTGGTCTGCGGCACATCGGCAGCACGATCATCTCTAATGCCCACGCACTTTAGAAGGCCAGTGCTGTCTAAAGTTTCACGCGCATCATCCTGCGACATGCCCAAGTCACCGAAGTGACTTGGGCCAAAGTAGCCGGTCACTGTCCATGCTGCAACAAACGCCCTCCTCGGCACAGACTTCCAAGCGCGCAGTGACCGGAGCGCAAGAGTGGCACGGTTGTATGGAGATGGGCGTTGTGGTTGGCCATTGGGCCCGATGACGAGTTCGGAGTAGCCTCACATGAGTGATCCAAGCATATGCAGCCTATGTCATCACACTCCCCAGGTTGCAAACCTTTGGTATGGAATGTCATTGCATCAACTGTTGGAACAAAAGGTTGACTGAAAGCAACAATATCACCAGCATAGACCTCAAATAGCAGCTAACTCAAATTCATGCTTTTTTTGGGGTAAGAACCCCATAGTTATTCCTAACTGGGGAAAAATCAATTTCCGTCAATGAGCTCTTGCGACATCTAAGGTCGGCTTCCATAGATACATCTTCTGCATCAGTATACTCCAAACGTGTCCTGAGCAAGTGATGGACCTGATCTATGGGTTGCCCATTCGCACTGAATCCTCCGGCCTCAGGGTGCTAAACAACTCCACACTAATTTCTGCCAAACTCACAACTCCTATCTCATCGGGCTTCTGTGTTTAGTGCATGTTGAACACGACTTGTGCATCAAACTTTAGCTCTGTGAAACCCACCTGCAAAGCTGGCAGGCCGCAGTTGCACTGCTCTGACCACGCCATCCGCGCTGTCTCCATGCCGTCCTTTTGTGCGTGGAATCCACTCCACGCATCTGCAAGCAGCAGTGCTCTGGCTGTGTGGTCGACACCAAGCTTATGTCGCTGCAATGCGACGGCAGGAGTGAGAAGCTGGTGAAGCAGAACTATAAAGGTTTCTGCACACATGAAATGGCTGGAGGACTGGGATTTAAAGATCAGGGCTTCGCCCTTCCATTCCTCATTGAATGAGTCTATTTGTTCTTGCCGCAAGAAGTTGTCCGGCACGCATATGCCTAACGGCCCAGCGTGGCCGCTGGACCATGTGGAGGTGACCAGCGTGATGCTCTTCCGCGATTCTGGAACGTAGTCGCTTCTACTTATGACATGGCCATGTTGTTTGGCGCCTTGGATTGTAAATGAACATGTTCTACATCTGCCTATGTCATTAGCCTCTTCACAAAAGCACAAGTGCAAAACAAAACAAAGCTGAAGAGCAAACAAAGCAACACCAATGCAATCAATTGGCGCTGGGGTCCTTTCATCAAGACCTTGGGACAAAACCTCAAGCTCTGCCTCCACAGCTGGTCGATGTTAAGGACCAGGAAAGGGTGAACTGAATCCTTCTGGATAGCCTCTTCCACCTGTTTTCTCGCGGCTTGAAGTCTGACATCATCCCACTCCTTGGCTGTAACCCAAAGGCATTGGGGCTGAGAGACCTGTTGCATCCTTTTGCTATGTCACGTAAAGGGCAAAAATTATACTTGTGGCCCAGAGGGGGGGTGGCGAAAGCTAGGCAAAGAAACAACGCTTTCTTTCGTGATATATACACCGGCAAGAAAAACATACGCTGCATCGAGCAAAGGTGCCAGGTATTGTCCAGCTGTGTTTCGTGCTACCCGCCGCCAGTTGAATGCATGGAGGAATTGGCGCACCCAGCGGAGGTCCAAATCTTCTGGGCAACGACGGGGCAATGGAAGGAAGCTAGTGGCCATGAACTTGCCCTTGACACCTGCAGCTTGAAAGTCAGCGGCAACCTTTCGGTTGTGCTCCTGGGTATCAGCTATGGCCTGGTCTAGGCCCTGGTTGTACTCGCGGGCCAGCCTCCTCACCGTCACAACCTCCAGCTCATTTCCAATCAAACACTACTTCCTATGTCACCACATATGCCGCAGTATGGATCATTTCAATTCCGACTACCTCAACTACCTAGGGCATCCAACTACCTCAACTTCGTGAAGAAACATCAAAATGCCCAAGTCACACAGTGCCGACCAAGGATGATGTCTCTTCTCTGTGTTGCCAACGACTTCCCCATGCAGAATTCCTCCAATGCTTTATGCAATTCCTCGGGGTGAACTGGACTCAAATGACATGGGTGAAACACATTTTCTAGAACCGTGAGTATTTGCTATACTATATATAGCATTTAATAACATAGGATAGCAACCAGTCCTGCATCACAAGGCCGGGTACCTTCCACCTGTTGACGTATCCTTTCTCTCGCGCAAGTTCTTGGAACTTCTCAGTTCCCACAGCCTTCCAGCCTTTGCACTTGTCAGTGAATCCCATAGCTACTTTGAGGCTGTCTGGTAGCTGGCAGTACTGTTTCTGTTGAGCTACAGATAGTGACCGCCAGCTCTGCTCCTGCGCCTGCTTCAGCAATTGGCTGATCTTGATTTTTCCAACCTGTGGGAATTTCTGTTCACATACCCGTTGCAAGTGCATCCCTCGAATGAAATTGCCTCGCAATTTTTTGGTCTTTCTGGTCTTCTTCCTTGAACTTCGGCTGTTAGACTTTGCCTCTGCAATGACCTCCTCTGCAAAGTCGATTACTTGCAACTTTTGAAATATAGTTAGTCTTGGCATCCGCTTGACTTTGGGATCGACATCCTTGAACTCTCCGTCATGCGATCTTTTCTTGCGCAGTTTTTCATCTTTGATCTTCTTCCGCAGTCTATTCCGGACGTTTCTCTTGGAGAGATCACGTTCATGTTCTACTTTGTCTTGCTCAACTTGCTGCAACATGTTCTTCAATGTCTTTTCCTTCCGGGTGTGGCTGGTGACTTGAGACTTGCGCATGGAATCAAATTTCTTCCTTGATTTCTCCAGGACTGTCTTCGCTTTGGACAGGTCATTCTCGCAGTTCTTTTGCAAGAAGAAGGCAACCTTCAGCACTTGGGCAATCTCAACCTCCTGTTGCAACCATTCTTCTACATTCTCTGGATCATGGTCTCTTCGCAGTTTGCCATCTTCAATTGCTATTTCAACAGCGAGGTTTGCCATCACATCAGCAGCTTCCGATGAAGCATCCATACCGATCTGTTGTCCCAAAGAGAAGACCGAAGACTTTCCCATCGCAAGCATTCCTGGATTGGCCAAAAGCCCACTGGTAAATTTGGACCACTGCTCAGCTCTCTTTTGTAGAAGTGTTTGCTCTTCACATCGCTTGTTCACTGCCGCATCCAACTTGTCTTTCTTTTGTTGTTCTGGCGCGATGCACATCATACAGCCAGAATTCAACACTGCTCTGGACTATGTCATCACCTATATATATATATGCATCCCTATGTACATACATACATACATACATACATACATACATACATACATACATACATACATACATACTGTATGTATATATATATATATATATCCTAAACGCAGGTTGACAACAAGTTGATTTGCAGGCCTCTCTCTTTGGATTCTTTTGCATCTTTCAATGCTGCTTCCACTGCGGCGTCTGCATTCTGCTTTCTCTTGCTCACAACCTCGCTTGGAAGTTCAGCTATCTCTTCCGCTGTTTTCTTGCAGCCGTTCCTGAAGAAAGCAAACAATGGCGGCGACTCCCACGATGGAGAAAAACAAAAATGGTATACAGACATGTGTACTGTATATATATATACATTAAAAAGTGACCAAGGGTATACATACATACATATATATATATATATGTGTATGCTATTTATATATATATACACATCAAATGTGTATATATATAATCTGAGATTCTCATCATCGGGTAGAAAGCGGAAACCGCATCGAAGCCGGGCATGTGGTCCTCTGGACATCACTTGAACCTGCAGACGGGTTGGCCACCTGTCCTATCTCACCAGGCCCTATCTCACCTGTTGCCTCTAACATGTGTTTTTCCCGTTGCTGCCAGCCTGGACTTCTGAAGAGCCAAAGCTTAAATAGTTGCTGGAAATCCACTTGTTTCCATCGGACAAATCTGATGGAGCACATCTTTGCAATTTGCCCACAAACAAATTTGGCAACTCTTCTCGAAGACCAATGGATTCTGCAAAGGACTCCACATCCAGAGGCCAGTTTTCATGCAAAATGAAACCCCAGATCTTCAAGCCTGTGCTCGCCACTTCGTCACTCAGCATGTTCGCAGAGAACAAATTCTCAGGCCCCAATAACACTCTCTTCACAAACTGTCTCTTGATCGACTTCTTTTTCAACTCCAACTGACCTGCACCACAGGTTCCAAGTAATCCACACTGGCAACATCTGGCAACGCACAGAAACCCAAATCCAAAAGCAGAAAAATATGTTACACACACATATGTTACTTAATGTTGCTTACACATGTAATAAATCCTGCGCAGTAGCATAAATGATGACATAGGAAAGTTTGCGCCTGAAAGAAGAACAGCCACTTGATCGTTCAGAGCTTCTTGAAAGCCCTGCGTGATCTTTACCAGAGCGGCCACGGGAATAAGTCCGTCAGTAGCTTTCTCAATGATTTCTGCACTGGTTTGTTCTGCGTCCTTCAGAGCAGGACCTTTGTCAATCCCAGTGAAGAACTCTGTCTTGTCTTCTACCTCTGCCGGTACCATGGCAAAGGTACTTCTGCCAAACATGGTCATTTCGGCTGAGCCTGAAGCTTCTCCTCCTCCTCCTGCGTGACTCTGCTCAGCACACTGCGCGGCTTGACTTGCTGCTACCGGCACACTCTCACCCACATCAGTCAGTCCACTGTACTTGATGATTTCTTCCTGAGTGCTCTGGGAAAGCCAGCCGACAATCAACCTGCTTTTGATGTCATCTACCTTGCCAGCTTTGGACATCTTCATAGATAGAGCTTTTTCTTGCAATTGTGTCCTCAAATTGATCAAAAAAACACTGATGACATAGGACTTCGGGTGCCAACAAAACTGCAAGAAGTCAAATGTATATATTAAATAAATAACTAAATATATATATATAGATATAGGTACATATCTACAGCTCACAACATGCCAATGATTGGAAAAGGATCTTTGAAAGTGTGGAAAGCTCTGCCCAATAGCGGCTGCCAGCTTCGTAGAAAGCATTTGCAAGTTTTGCCAGCTGAAGCAACGACTTGCCCTGACCTGCAAAGTTCCGCTTAAACCCATGGACCTTGACTGTGCAGCTTTTTTTGTTGACTTTGATGTTCGGATAGTTTGCTGCAATGGTTGGAACCAAAGATTCATCTTCTTCACTCGGTGCTGCAGCAGCAGAGCCCTCCTGGAAGTGTGCATGACATAGGCCGTAACTAACAGGTTGCTCTGGTCTATCATCCGAAAAGAAAGCTTCATCCCCCATCACCCTATCCAAACAAATCTTTTATGTACAGTAAATTCTGCATCTACACACATATATATATATATTGTTAGATATTATCAGAAAAGAACTCTGGTAAACCTTCAAAGCATCTGTGTTGGTGTTATATGCATAGAGTGGTGTTTGCAAGTGTGCGTGCCCACCTGAGTAGCGGCACTTGTCTTGATTGTTGCGCTTGCAGCAGCAGGGCCGTCCTGAAAGTGTGTGGGAGGCAGGT